TTGACATAGACAGTCTGAATAGCCAGGTTTCCTATGGTTAACAGAGAAGGATTAGCACCCTTGACCACTTAATTTTCCTTTTATTTTTAGCAGGTTAAATTTTTACTAAAATAATTTCATAATGTTTTGATAACCACATATTTTGATAACTACACACCAGTTTTATTTATAAAATGTACATAACATACAATATGCACATTTAAAGTGAGTATTTTGATGGGTTTTTAGTATATTCACAGCATTGTGCTATCACAACAATTTTAAAACACATCATCACCCATACCCATTAGCAATTATTCCCTATTCCTGCCAGTCCTAGGTAAACACTAATGTACTTTCAGTCTCTACAGATTTGCCAATTCTAGACATTTCATATAAGTGGAAACACATAATATGTGTCTTCTGTGACTGCTGCTTTCACTTTGCATAATGTTTTTAAGGTTCATCCACGTTGTAGTATGTATTAGTTCTTCATTTATTTTCATTGCCAAATAATATTCCACTGTATAGAAATACCACATTTTAGGACTTTCCTGGTGCTCCAGTGGTTGAGACTCTGCTTGCACTGCAGGGGACATGGGTTCTACCCCTGGTTGGGTAAGTTCTGCATGCTGCACAGTGTGGCCAAAAAATAAACTTGTGTTCCCCTCACCACTGTGTCAATAAATAATAAAAGTGGATTTTTTTTTAAGAACCAACTTCTTTTAGAAAACAAGAAATATCACATCTTAGTTGATATCTTTAGAGAGTATAATGTGTCCAAAACAAAATCTTTTATTTCTTCTCCTAAACCTCCTACTTTCGGACGTCCCCACATTAGTAAATGATGCGATCATGCACCTAGTTGCTCAGGCCAAAAGCTTTGAAGTTATCCTGTATTCTCATAACAGCAAATTCTGTTGGTTGTACCTTCAAAATTCCATGTCCAGCTATTTTCAACCTTCTCTGTAGTTACTACCTCCTAGTCTAAACCACTGCCATCTTTCCTCTGCAACTGTTATAAAAACCTAATTGGTATCCTGCTGCTGCTTCCGCTCCTGTTCCCCACAGAGCAGCCAGAGTGATCCATTTAATACTTGTATCAACTTGTGTTCCACCCCTGCTCAACACCATCTAACGGCTGCCCATCCAAAGCACCAAAATCCAAAGCACCAAAAGCAATCTGCTCCTTGCCTACATCTCCTCTTTTACTCTAGCTCTAGCTACCCTGACTGTCTTGCTTTTTCTCAGATACACTATAAATATATTCGTGCTTCGGAAGCTTTGCATCTGCTGTTCCCTCTGTGCCTGGACCAGTTCTCCCCGGGGTAGCTGCTTAGCTTATTCCCCACCTTATTCAGATCTCTGCTCAAACATTTCAGGGCAAAGGAGCAGGCAGGCCTGGGAAGAGTATCACTGTTAGGTTTCTTGGGCAGCCAACCCAAGAAAGGATTGAGCTTAGTTAATTCCCTAGTATTCTCAATCTGGTCCATTGGAGGGTGCTAATGGCATATGTATTAAACCCAGATAGATCTGTCGTTTCACTTTTTATAATGGCCATTCTCCATACAATCTTGCTTAAGCACTGACAAATTTTACAGTGTTATTCCAGTATATCTCATCTCTCATACTCTGAAAAGATTTAGATCTTCCCTTGAAAAATTCAGACATAAAAAAGACCGAAAGACTAGGAATAAACAAGTAATTCAGGTTCTCTTCTCTCCTCACTTCCCCCCTCCAATGTGCTCTTCTCTCTGTATTTGCTTCTCTGTAAATGGCACCATCCTTTACTCAGGAATTTGGAATTCATCCTTAGTTCTCTCCTCACCTTCACTTCCCACATTCAGTATCATTTGTCTCTTCAGCTCCTCTCCATTCACACGGCCCTGCCTTTGATCAGGCCTCTCAAGTCTGCTGGATTACCTGGTTGCCCGGATTACTGCAGCCCTACAGTCTTCCTCTCCACTTCAGTTCAATCTCCACAGTTACTTCTTTCCAAATCCCAAATCTAACAATAGCATTTCCCTGCTTAAATCAAACATTCCCTCTTTGCCTTCATGAAACCTTAACACTTCAGCATGACTTGCAAGTCTTTCGGGGACCCCAGCAACCAGAACAGCCTCATGTCTTGCTATTCCACGAGGGTTCCAAATCAGCCTTATTTGCAGTCTCTCCTTAGGTAGTTTTTTTGTTGTTGTTGTTTGCTTTTTTTTTTTAATATGGACTTCCAGACCCAAGTGCAAAGATGTTGATTGAATTGGAATGAAAGAGGGTTGAGGAAATCAGCCCGGTATTTTTATAAAAATAGTGGTAAAAAACCTGCCTGCCAATGAGACATGAGTTTGCTCCCTGGGTGGGGGAGATCCCCTGGAGGAGGGCATGGTAACCCACTCCAGTGTTCTTGCCTGGAGAATCCCAGGGACAGAGAAGCCTGGTGGGCTACAAAGAGTTGAAAAGAGTCGGATGCGGCTGAGCACAGCACAACTGGCTTTCGTCCCCTCCAACTTTAACTTTCTGTGCCCTCTCTCTTTTCACACTGTTCATGGGATTCTCTCTTGGTTCTCCTCCTTACCACTCTGATCATTTGTATCTGTGGCCCTTGCCAGCTTTTCCTCAGTTTCTGTTCTGGGGCCTCTTTTCTACTTTTTTTCAATGATTCCATCTAATCCCACAACTTCACTTATATTTTTGTGTGTGTATGCTAAGTCGCTTCAGTCGTGTCCAATTCTTTGTGACCCCATGGACTGTAGCCCACCAGGCTTCCTTGTCCATGGGATTCTCCAGGCTAGAATACTAAAGTGAGTTGCCATGCCGTCCTCCAGGGTATCTTCCCAACCCGGGGCTCAAACCTGCGTCTCTTACATCTCCTGCACTGGCAGGTCGGTTCTTTAGCACTAGGACCACCTGGGAAATCCATATTTATGTGAAGAAGTCCAAATTTTATTCATATTTGGCTTCTAAATATATCCCAAACTCCAGATCTATATGTCCTATAATGCTAAAATTTCAGGTATGGAGATCTCAGAGTTCACTTATCCTAAGACTTCATTGCCTGGATATCTCCACCAAACGGCTCACTGGCTTTGAAAAAGTCAGTGTTTTCAAAATTGAACACCTCATTTTCTATCTACTTCCAATTTCATTTCCAAATTGATTCCTTTCCTTGAATTTGTTTCTACAAATAGTCACCTTGAGGCACATCGCCTCCTCATTCCCTATATTCAGTTAGCTGCTAATCTAGTAGCTTCCATTGCCACAGACTTTCTCAATTAGAATCACTGTTGTCTATTCTAAACTACCTCGTTTGTAGATTAAATCCTAATTACTTCCCAACCAGAGTATTGCAGAGGACTCCTAGCTAGATTATCCCCCTCTAGTATCTGTTTGGAATTCTAAATGATTTTTTATTCATTACCACTAGATTAATCCTTAAGAATAATTCTGATCTGCCACTCTCTGGCCTAAAACCCTTAAACGTCTCTCCTAGATAACTAAATTATCCACTAGTTTCTTACCCTGACACTCAAAGTCCTCCATGTTCTGGACTCAGTTCTATTTTTTTAGCTTTCATGATGACCCCATCACCTAGAATACCCTTCCGTCACCTTTACCTGGCAAAATAATAGCTGATTTCAAATACACACCTCCATTATTAAGTCTTCTCTTTGGGGGGGGGGGGGCGGTGTGCTTAGTCACTCAGTCATGTCCAACTCTTGCAAGCCCATAGCTTGTATGTAACCTGCCAGGATCCTCTGTCCATGGGATTCTCCAGGCAAGAATACTGGAGTGGGTTGCCATTTGCTGAATATGAACCTTCCTTTGAACCCCTTTACCACTTTATTAACACTTTAATTTCAAGCTGACCAGATTTGCCTTGCTTATCTGTGTATTCTAAGATACTCAAATTTTTCCACTAGAAATGTACCTAATTATACAGAAAAATGAATAGATAGCCCTAGGGCTATCTGTCACAATGGTTCCCTGGAAAATTAAAATTTAATATCAATTTTTCAGTGTTATTAGCATTAGACTGCTTTAATATAAAAATGACGTTTTTTGACTAACACTCTAGGAAGATGGGGCTTCCCCGGTGGCTCAGAGGTTAAAGCAGCTGCCTGCAGTGCAGGAGACCTCGGTTCGATCCCTAGGTCAGGAAGATGCCCTGGAGAAGGAAATGGCAAACCATTCCACTATTCTTGCCTGGAGAATCCCATGGAAGAAGGAGCCTGGTGGGCTACAGTCCACGGGGTCGCAAGAGTCGGACACGACTGAGCAACTTCACTAGGAAGATGAGTCTGTTTTAATCTTGAGGATTTAGGGTACTCCTGGCATACTGTGAAAACCCTCTATGGCAAAGACTGCCTTACTACATATATATTCCTTGTAAAACTAAAACAGTACCACCTTCAAACACTCAATATATTCGCGAGTATTTACGCAGTGTTTACCATGTACCTAGACCTGTTTTGTTTCAAGGAGCTCAGTCTCCATGGGATGGCCCTAAACAAACAAAAAAACTGTACATTAAGAGTTAAACGCTGAAACGTAAGCCATCCATGTTCTGCTAGACCCTTCAGTCTCTCCATTCTATACCCTAAATGACACAGTGGAAGTGAGGAGGACCACTTTAAAGTCCACTCTGACCTCCAGATTATTTTCTGGAGATTGATAATTTTCTGCTAACACTGCCCGAAGCATAATCCTCTTCACCTGGAAATAAAAGGTTTCCATCCTTTTGCTCTCCAATTCGAAGATCAGAAAAGTCCCCTGGGGTCGACGAGTCAGGGCGGCAGAAAGTCTGACCCCCGCAAAAGGAGCAAAAATGCCAAAGCTACCAGCACCACCCCTTAACCTCCCCCACGTGCTTCCAATTGGTCCTTGTGAGTCACTCTCTTCCCAGATTGGCGTTCCAGCTTGCCCGTCGCCTCCATAGAACCCACATTTAGCCAGCAACTATTGGTAGATAGTTACGTCATTGCCCTATCCACCCCGCTCCCATTGGCTCCCATAGGAAGGGGCGGTCGCAACGTCATAGGCAAGGGCCGCCATTTTGACTGAGCAATCCTAGTGACAGGAGCTGAAGAAGCAGCGCTGGTTGTCCCGTTTCCCCTCCCCCTTCCCTTCTCCGGCTGACCTCCCGGGCCCCCCACACTCCACAGTCCCGGTCCCACCATGTCCCAGAAACAAGAAGAGGAGAACCCTACGGAAGAGACCGGCGAGGAGAAGCAGGTGAAATGGAGGGGGTGCGGTGGGCGAGTTGGGGGCGATTGTGATGGGGCGGGAGGCGGTCTCCCACCTGTGCGGATTGGTCGCCATGGTCTCGGGCTCTGCAGGGGTTGGCCACGTCTTGCGTCATGCAGGGTGAGTTTCAACATGGCCTGCTGCTTTGGTTCTGGTTAGTTGGCTGGATTGTCAATCAGTGTAGTACCCTTCCTGATTGGTCACTAGGCCTACAGCTAGATGTATTGACGCTGTGCTGTAATTGGCCGAACCTGAGCGTGGGGCGGGTGTTTGGAAAGAGTGGGTGAATGAAAGGGGGTTGGTGGTCTCGGGATGAGATGTATGTTATTGGTTAGTAGGGGTAAAATGAAACAACAGCTAGGCTGGGTCCTTCATTCTATATCCTCAGAAAGATACAGATCAAGATACAGAAGTTTAAAAAGGGATCAGCAGTGGGGGAAGGGAGAAGAGTAATTATTATCATGGCTAATTTAAGGCGGCAACTTTCTTAAAGAGACCTATTTTGATCGCTGGAGATGGTCTGTTGCCCACTTTCAAAGAGGACCTTACAAAATTGAAGAGGGCTAGAGTTTCAAACAGAATAATGGAGGTTAAACCTAAGAAAGACCCCTAGAGAGTCGTGAAAAGAAAGACGCAACCATATTTCCCCCCGACTTCTAAGGTAGTGGGGACTTATTTCACCGGCAATTCTGTGATGAAAATACGCCAACTTATTTAGGTGTTTTGTGTTTGATTTATAACATTTAGTACTGGACTCGGGTTCATAAAATACCCCTGGGTTATATTCGGGCCAGGTTTTCAAGGCAAGGGAATGTAATTCCACTAAAAAGAACCACAAATTGGCTTCATTACCTTTTTAAAAAAGTCATTAAAGAAAAGGGCGGCAGGGCCCACAAAAAGGAAGCAGAGAGTAACAACAACAGTAAGAGACCCTGCAAGTTAATTGGACTCTTGGCATGTTTCCCAAACCTCCATCACTAGGGAAGGTGTTGATTTTTTTGGCAGAGCTGGTGGGTAAATACTAGTGAACCCACTGTATCTTAATTTTCCTGAGATTAATCTATTTACTTGTCACCTTCCTACTACAATGTGTATGGAAACAGTGCTGTCCATTATTGCTGTCCAGTGCTGACCATTGCTAAGGTGGAGCTTTCTGGAGAAGGCCACAGAGCTAGCGTCCATAGATTTATCAAAAGCCTAGCTTAGGAGGGAACATCTCAGCATTTATCCCTTTTGATTTCCCATTTGACCTGTGCTGTGTTTTACAGACAGCTAGGGATTTCCCTACTAATCTTGCAACACCAGAATCCCTGCTAGCTCTTTTCTGTCTTTCTTAGCTTCTGTTCTTAGTGAGCTACTGCTTGCTCTTTGATTAAGTATTGTTCTTTGGTATTACCTTTAACCCAATACTCACAGGTCACCGGGGTGGTTCCCTGGGTGTAGTGTGACAAACAACTTATCTTTTTTTCTCACAATACAGTCATCTTGAGCTTTAGGGATTTGAACAAAGGTCTGGCTTTATTTAAGAGTGTGAATAGCATGTTTACAAATGGGTAGATCTCCAGGAAAAGGTAATAGTGTAAAAGTTAGCAGATATTAGAAGCAGCTGCTTCTCAGTGTTTAATTTTACTGGCCCCATTTGTTTCCTCCAGGACACCCAAGAGAAAGAAGGTATTCTCCCTGAGAGAGCTGAGGAGGCAAAGCTAAAAGCCAAATATCCAAGCCTAGGACAAAAGCCTGGAGGCTCCGACTTCCTCATGAAGAGACTCCAGAAAGGGGTATGGAGCACAATCTCTTACCCTTTTACTTGGAACCAAAGGGGCCTTAGGGATGAGATCTGTGGAAGTTCTGCTGAACACTGATATGAAAGTTTTGTTGTTGGGCAGTAGTAAAGAAAAATTAGAAACTTGTTAAAAAAAAAAAAACCCAAGACAAATACTGTAAGTTCCTGAAAGGGTATCATTTATTTTCTGATTTCCCTCAGGATACTAAGGCTTAATGGAGAGGTATTTAGGAATAGCCTTGGGAGAGTGAGGGAAGGATGTCAGAGTCTGGAAAGCTGACAGCCTCCATACGTTTGCCTGTTTGGATGGTGGGAGTTTTAGGACTGCAGATACAGGATTAGAGCTAAATTTTGAGGTGCATCATTTCAAAAGAAAGGCCATCTGTCCTACAGATTTCCTCAACTTGAAATGATTTTTTCAGACCCTTGAAGTTAGCACCAGCCATTAACTATGCTCCCTGAAGAGACTTACTTTTCCAGTCCAGAGTGGTCCTTCTCCCAATGGAGAGTCTTACCTTCATAGCCTTCTAGCTCCTCTTTGGGTTCCTCAGTCCTCAGAGGTACCTAAAACTGACTGAACAGTTGTCATTCATTAACCTGGAGTGTATTTCTCTATGCGGATGAAATGGAGAGGGAAACAGATCCCTGTGGAGAATCCCAGTTAGAGTCTTAGTCACAGATGATGTGATGCTGATTTGCAGTTTACCTTGCTGTAAGCAAGACAGGCGTGGGCAGGCTGTCACAGCGATGGAACATGTGTGGGCGTGGTTGGAGTCAGAGGAAAGTACATTATCCTCAGGAACAAGCCCAGTTTCTATTCATAGTCTGAGAGAATAATTTCTCATTTTGAGGTTGTTAGCTTGAGGTTGATCTCCTACTGATAGCCCCAGGTTGACCCTTTATATCTTATTCATTTCTGTTTCCCCAGCACCAAGCCCATTGGAGGCTTATAGGTCCTTTATAAACCTTTGGGATTAAAGTCAGTAATATGGTTGAAGCACTGGGGACTCATGGGGCTACTAAAGGCTATAGGAGCTATATTTCTTAACTCCAAAAATATACACCCTAACTGGGAAACTGCTTACAAATGTCAAAAAGTCAGAAGACACTGGGAAGAAAGCATAATTAAATATAGTTAATACTAAGCTGTGTATACATGAGGCTAATCAAAAAAGACTTGAAAGATCTGAGTTTGGATGCAGGTTTATAGGGTTTATGGTGGACCTGAGTCTCCTTGCTTTTGAGGAAGACCAAAGCTCCTCACTCACCAAAACCTCCCTTTTGTCTCTTAGCAAAAGTACTTTGACTCAGGAGACTACAACATGGCCAAAGCCAAGATGAAGAATAAGCAGCTGCCCAGTGCAGGACCAGACAAGAACCTGGTGACCGGTGACCACATCCCCACCCCACAGGATCTGCCCCAGAGAAAGTCCTCGCTCGTCACCAGCAAGCTTGCGGGGTAACCTGGCCCCCTCTGCTCCCCTTCTCACCCATTGGACTTTTCTATGTCATAGGCAGGGATAGAGTGGGCACCTAGTTGTCTCTTCTCAGCTTGCTCGCCAGAAATGACTATGCTGCTTCTGGGGGCTGCTGAGAATGTAAGATGGGCTAAAGAGAGGCTCTGAGTTCACTGCTTTGGTTAAACTGAGATTTCCACACCCTCATGTGGCCCAAGTAGGGGCTCAGAAATAGGAGCCTAGGATTGGATAATGCTGCAGACTTTCTTTTTCATTTGTATGAGAAACTGGGGAGATGTCATTTCTCCTTTTGGAAGAGAATGTGTCCCAAAATAGGTGAGGCTAAGCCTTGGGAATAATATGACAGGTTTAACACCCCAAGGCTAACCTGATATGATTGGGAAAGATAGATTGAATGAGATCTGTTTTCTGTGCTTTAAGTGTTTTGTCCTTTGGGCTGCTATTGCTTTCATGTTTTCATTATGGCAGGTTTAGCAAATCCTCAAAAAGAAAAACTGATGTACTTGCCTAAAACTATAATGCCCACCTAACCTTCTTTACTCAGTGTCTTTTACAATTTGCCCTGGAGGATATTATTCATGTAAAATGGGCACCTTCTCTCTCTCTTCCAGCATGTTGCTTTTTGAAAGTATCATGGGAAAGTGGAAAGAACACTGGGTTAGCAGTCAGGATATCTGGGTTCTGTTTCCATTCAGTTCTAGACAGAACTGACCTGTAGCCTTGGTCGAGTCACTTCACCTCTCTGGATTTCTGCTTCCCCATCTGTAATATAGATCCAAATGTAGATCAGATTGATTCTAACATCCCGAAGAACTCTGTGCTGTTCATTGTAAAACCAAAAGTGAGGAAGGACCATAGGTGAGAGTACGGAGAACTCATTGAAGACCACATGAGGAGAGAAGTTGAGATTTAGGGATTATAAATTCAAGCAGGAGGACCTCATAAGTGTCGTGGTCTTGAGGGTCAAGAAAAAAAAATTCTAAGAAGCTAGCCATGAAAGCGCTTGCCTCTGCTCTCCCTTCTTTCCTACAATCTGGGCCTTGGCTGCTAAAAGACTGCTCTGGGAGCCAGGCTGTGGGCCTGAAGAAGCATGCTCAGTCATGCTCGTGTGGAGTCCCACATTTCAGATGTTCTCAGCTGCCAGGTGTATCATTAGGGAGACAGGAAGGAAAGGGAAGAACAGTCACTCCGGGGCTTAGTGCTGCTGTGGGGCTGGGGCAGCAGGTTCTCAGGAGATGATTCACCTTGGAGAAAGCTGGGGAAGGCGGTTAGGGAGAAATAGAAGGAGCACTGAGAAATCTCTGCCTTCCTGGAGCTCAGCTCCTGTGCTCTGAGAGGTAGCAACGCTGATCATGAACCAGGTAGAGGAAAGAGGGGCTGCGGGTGGCCAGCATCATCTATCTGATTATCACTAGCTCGGCCTGAACCATACTGAATGCAATCTGCTAGTTAGGACAGAGAGGGCCAAGTGAGAGCTAGCAATTCAAGAGAGGAAGAGTCTGTCTTTGGCCCTCTCTCGACCTCTCAGCCCACAAGTTCTGATATACCACACATCTGGCCCAGTGAGGACAACTGATGAACTTGCTGATGCGCACGTGGGGCGTTAGGGTGTGTCTACACTTCTTTCCTGACCAGCCATTCACTTTTCAGGTCATCATTCAGATTGGGTAGGAAAAAGTTGGTGAGGAAGGAATGGAGAGAGCAGGATGCCGTGATTCCCTGGCCCCTAGGGCAACTCCTTGACTGTCACTTGTAATTGTATATAATTTTTGTGTTTCTTGCTTCATTTCCTCATGCTGTCTTCCTTAGTCTAAAGTCCATGTGGGAAGGGGAAAATGCTGAATATCTTTGTATAGTTTCCTCAACTGTCCCAGACATGTTGTACATAGATATGTCATGTTATTATATATATAAATATATATATAATTTTGTACGTTTTCTTCATCTCCGATCTTCTCGAATTTTGTACTCTTTTTTTGTCTGAGCTGCTCTCTCTATCAGTCAGTGTGAATCCTCAAGATTGGAATCACAGTGAGTCTCAGTTTTAGGAAAGAATAGAATAGGGAGTAGAAATAGGGGAATCAGAAAGACTATTGGTCTCTCTTTCCACCCGGTCATCTTCAAAGCTAAGGAAACAAAGAAACAAGCTCCTTTTTGTAGATGCCACCTGCTTCCACAGCATGAAGTGCATAGCTTCCATGGCAAAAAAGGGTCATTTTGAAATTCAGTTTGCTTTGATTAAACCTAGAGTATTAAGTCCATTCAAAACAACACATGTATTGTCTGGCCCTGGCCTCCATGCAGCTGCCACCTCATCACTCTCCGCCCCCCAACGCCAATCTGTCAGTCTCCACTGTGGCAAGTGGCTCTGGCCATGCCCCTGAAACTAGCCTGCTCTGAAAACCTCGTTATTTTGATCTTGTCTAAAGAATTTCTTTCTTTGTTTTCTTGGGTATCTCCAAAAAGACAAGAGAACAATTTTGTAACTAGGTGAAGACCGAAATTTTCCTTTTCTTTAAAAAAAAAAAAAAAAAAGACTCTCTGGATAGGACTAAGACATGTGCCATGTATCCCCAGTGATTGATAAGTGTGGAAGAATGATGGGGTAGAGACCGGGGTGGAACTTAGGCTTTTTTCCCTTACTACTTGACAGTGTTTTCTTTCTCTTCTTCTGTGTTCGTCCGCAGTGGCCAAGTCGAATGATGCTGCCCGGGGCTCCACCAGATCCTGAGCCGCTGCCCCCTGGGTCCTGTGCTGGCTCCTGCCCCTCCCTGCTTTTGCAGCCAGGGTCAGGAGGTGGCTCGGGTGCGGGCTGGAGAGGCAGAGGCCCCTGCCCGTCGGTGTCCCAGCGCATGGAGCCCCTTGGGCCGAGCACCAAGACCTTGACTCTTTTTTGTTTTTCCTTTTTTTTTCCAAGTAATTGTTGGGAGACATCTCAGTGAAATCCTGGGGGTGGGGTGGGGTGGGGGGTTGAGAGGGTGGAGTGGGAGATGTGAGGGGTTATGAATTAGGACTTAGAGCTGATAACAAAAACATTCCTAACTATCTTCCTCCTTGGCCTTGTGGCTGGGGTGGAGTGGGGGTGGGGTGGGGGAGTGAAGCGGACTAAAGGTGAGGGGTTCTAATTGAGCTGTGTAGAAGAGTGCCTTGCTAGCTTGTTTATGACTGGGGACCTGATGTCAGATAAAAGAAACCGTCTAAATATGAAAGATGCAGATGACTCCTCTGGTTCTGCAGAACAGGCTAAGAACTGAATGTTTATTGTTGGGGTGGGGAAAAAGTGCTGTCCTTGAAGTAGATTTGCTGTGGGAAGAAGGGCAGTGAGTGTGGGAGAAAGGATGAGCGTGGGGAGCACCGCAGAGCCCAGGGGCCTTTTTCAGTATTTGAAATAAAAAACAAACAAGAAGATCCACAGAAAAAAAAAAACAAACCAACCCAGAAATTCTCTGCAGCCGTTGGTGTGTTTTATTGGGGTTTGGCGAAAGGGAAGAAAATAAGACTGAAGACAGCATTCAGGAGAAGCTGGTGTGGGGTTCTGAGCCCCTGAGGAACAGGGGCCCTTCAGATGGGGTGTGTCTGGGTTCCCCGTTTCCATCATTTAGGGAGAGGGTGCAGGGACGTTGGCATATAGACCAGGACTTATATAGCTAATGCAAAGATGACTCTTCCTCAGGTTCTGACTCACAAAATGAGGGGTTTGCGGTGTTTGATCTGAAGGGTTTATTGACACCTGAAGATTACTCCAGGCTAAGCATGAAAGGAAGCCAGTCTGTTTTCCCTTTCAGTCTTGCTTTCCTTCTCAAGTTCCTGTGTCTCTGGAGAATTGTAACCACTAATGATCAGCCTTTCTGCTAGCAGCCAGCAGGAGGCAGAGTCACTTCTTTCCTCATGATGTGTTAACCATTGCTGGAATCCTGCCACTGCAAGGGGTTTAAAACTATCTGTGAGTGTAATATACAAAAGAAGTGTTGCCAAAGGAGAAACAGACTCACACTTTTCTTCTGTCACATTCACACCAATCTACTGTGTTTGAAGATGGAAACTTGCCCATTTGCCCAAGGAGATTTTAGGCATAAAGGAGATTTTATGATTAGGAGATTTTACCATGGTTATCTTCTCAAATGAGCATGCATCAAGGAAGACAGAATCCTGGAGACAATAGATATTCTAGAGAAATTTCTATCACATTAAGAGGGTGGAGTACTTTTAAACTAGAGAAGGAATGTTGTTCTCAGTGTGTGATTCATGCTCTCTTCTTAATCAGAAACTTTCCAAATAAGTTTTCAGCTTCCCAGGAAGCTGACTTGCTCTCTCCTAATTTAGTCAGGGGACTGCGATGCCTCCTAACCATCAGCCTTTCTGAACAGCATGCTAGACACTGAACTAGGTGGTTTGGAGATACATTAGAGAAAGGCATGCCCCACCTTTAATGGGGTTTCTTATCTTACTGGAAGAAAACACATGAAAAAGTTCATACACTTCAGTAGCATGAACTTACATCTTAGAGCTCGGAGATGTACGAGTGTTCATTACGATGGGGTTTCTGAGTCTTACTCCCCTTAAGCCAGCCCCATGGCCTCGTTATGAGCACATGGTCCCTGCTTTTGTGTTTGCCAAGTGGCAACATGGGCAGTAAGGTCAACAAGGCTCCAAATGTGGAGGCATCTGTTCCATTTAGTATAAAGAGAAGGGACGTTGACATAGAAATAAGTTATTTATAAGGTGGCAGTGCTAGTTTACTGAAGACCTTGAGTTAACATCTCTTAACGTTTAGGCTTTTACATGCTTTTTCCATTACTCTTGGCTTTCCTAGTCCTTAAGTTTAAGCTGTAGCCTTAGGAATCCTGGGGTGCCCAGAAATGGTCATTGCTGTTTCTGTTCCAGCTTAAAACCTGCCTTTCCTTTTTCTTTACTCCCATACGACAGGGCTAGGCAGTCAGGAAGCCCGATTCTTCAGTGCTTCCAAAAGCTGTTCTTGCCCATTGTTTTAGCTTAGTGTTTTATCTTTAATCCAAAGAGTGGATTCAAGGGTTCTGCCACTCCTCCAGCATGGTGGGGTGATAATTGTGTTGACATGTCTCTCAGTTGAGCTGTCTGATATGCAGGGTGGCAGGCATGAAGTCACCACTATTGTTGTCCAGCCACATTTATTTTAAGCTGATGTGGCCTGAGCGTGGAAAGCACAAGCGAAAGAAAAAGCTGGGAGAATTGCCATTGACGATCGCGCCTGTCGGTCTGCCGGCCACACCCACACGCAGCCCCCGTGTACAGTGCCCTTTGCTGGACCTGGAGGGAGGTCAACAAGGAAAGGAAAGATCTCTTCCCTCGGAAGCTAAGGTATGACAGTGACATGCAAATAAACAAATTAATGTGATAAGATCCCACAAAGCATATGGGATCTTAATTCCCTGACCAAGGATCAAGCCCATGCCTCCTGTGGTGGAAGCACGCAGTCTTAACCACTGGGCCACCAGGAAGGTGCCCAGATCACTGTAGTTGTAAGCAGAATTCCTGTGAACTAAGAGGAAGGCAGGAGACGGGCTGCTGGCGGAACCCCCTTAGAGATGGAGGACTCCTTAAAAGGCCCCCGTGCTTGGGCAGCGGCATTTTAGTTCACGAGGAGCTGTTGAACTCTGGCTTTGGGGAAATACGAGGAGTTATTGGGCAGATGAGCAGCGTAAGAGGTGGTGTCTGCCCTGGAAGAACTTCAAGCCTCACTGAGACAGCACTTTTACATACAATGCAAGATAGTGGTAAAGGAATTCTGAGAAGGGAAAATTCAAAGGGCTGGAATCATGAGGTAAATATTAGTGGAAGAAATGGAAATTGAACTGGGCCTTAAAAGATGGGTAGTATTAAATAATCTAGTTCAATTATTGATAAGTGCCTATAATATGCCCCTGGAGTAGGGAATGGAAACCCACTCCAGTATTCTTGCTTGTGAAATTCTATGGACAGAAGACCCTGGTAGGCCACAGTCCATGGGCTCGCAAAAGAGTGAGACACCACTTAGTGACTAAACAAACAACTTTCAAGGAGATTCCACTCTGGTGGGGAAACTACACATGAGGAAATCATGCTACCGTGTTCAACTTGCAGCCGTAGAAGCTTAGCTACATAGAGGAATTAGGGACAAGTATTTAGTAGTAGTTACATCTAGCCCATTGCTAAATCCTTAATTTACATCATTTCATTTAATCCTCACAACAATTCTACAAAGTAGATAAGTATTGCCATTATACAGGTGAGAAAACTAAATCAGTAACTTGGCCAAGTCACACAGCTTCTGAGAGTGGAGGCAGAATCCCAGTGCCTGCAATGGGATGGCGAAAAGAGTTATCTGGAAACGTTTCTACTACCTGGCCTGGTTCAATCCCTGGTTAGGAAATTAAGATCTCACAAGCCACACGGGACACCCCAAAAGAAAGTAATCAGGAAAAGTTTCATGGAGCAAATTCTGAAGGAGAAACAATATTTTTCTAGAAAGATGCGAAAGGGCATTTTGGTAGAAGGACCAACACTAAGAGAAGGATGAGGCAATGTGGAATCTGCTGATTTTGCAGTACAGTATCAAGTGAGTCCTGGGGAGGGACTGGAGACCAGGCCACAAAGGCAGACAGAAGGATATGATTTGCAGGCAGGCATAGGAACCACGGAGGTGACTGCAAAGAAGAACTCTAATTGGTTCTGTGTTTTAAATAGGTCACTGCCAAATCGTGTGGAGATGAAATTTAGTTGTTTAGTCACTCAGTCGTGTCCAACTCTTTGTGACCCTATGGACTGTAGCATGCCAGGCTTCCCTGTCCTTCACCATCTCCCAGAGCTTGCTCAAACTCACGTCCATTGAGTCAATGATGCCATCCAACCATCTCATCCTCTGTCATCCCCTTCTCCTGCCCTTAATCTTTCCCACCATCAGGATCTTTTCCAATGAGATTTAGAAGTGATAGATTTAGTGATGGGCGGGTTCTAGCATCAAGTTTCCTGGTTTTGAATCCTGATTTTTATACATTTGAATGACTTGAGACAAGTTTCTTAAACTCTCTTTGCTTCAGTTTACTTATTTTATAAAATAGGAATGATGCAGTACCCACTGAACAGGATTGCTGTGATGATTAAACAAGATAGAACATGTAAAGCCCTTACTTCAGGGATTGCAGCAGTGCCTAAGATATGGTTCCTGCCCGGGGAGCTTATAGACCATTGAGGGATATACTGAAGATAGGTAGACTGACAATAATTAGAGTACAAGGATTCAGAGCTAAGATGGGGAAGAGCATAAAATTCTCTGAAAGTACAGAGGCTGGGCACCTAATTTGAGTAAATGGGAGAACAGCCAGGAAAATCCTTACACAGAGAGTAGCTTCTGAGCTGAAATATGATGGAGTAGTAGGACTTAGGGAAAGGGGTTAGACTGGGAAAGGGGGCCTTCCAGGTGGAAGGAACAGTCTGAAAAGATGCAGAGGTATTACATTCTGAAAACTTAAAATAATTGAGTAACTGTAACATAGTATGCAAGGAATGAGGCTGGAGCTGGGTGGAGGTAACCAAGGGTTAGGTCACAAAGGGCCCATTAGGCTTCATCCTAGAGTCAGTGTGAAGCTGCTGAATAAAGATTTTGAGCAAGGCAGTGACATGATCAGATTGGCCCCTTAGAATAATCTTTCTGATTGTTGTGTCAGGAGGAGACTAGAGATGGTAAAATGGGTGTATTAAAGATACTACTAATGGGATGGAAAAATTGGGAAAGGAAAGGCTACTGTGAAAAGGAAGATGATGAATTCAATTTGAGACATAAGTTTAACATCTAAGTGGAGAATTCTGTACTTGTAAACTGTTAACCGTGGGTTAGTTGTGGTACAATAACAGCCTGTATGTAGCTACAGTACTATAGGTTAGATATGATGAGGAAATAAGGTAATGATAGTGGGGATGAAGACTGAACAGACTCAAGAGATAGATGAGAAGTACAATCAACAGAATCTGATGTGAGGAGTGGGACTTGGGAAGAGACAGGACTCTATTAAAAAATCCTGAGGTAAACTATGATGCCGTAATCCAGAAAGAGAATACAGCTGGAAGAGCAAGTTTGGCATGGAAGACAATGAGTTCATTTTGCAGTAGAGTTGATGTGAGGTGCCTGTAGGACATCCAAGAGTAGGTTACTAGATTTATGTTAAGTTACTGGATTTACGCATCTAGAGGTTGGAGAAAATTTCAGAATAGGAGATACAAATTCTGTAGACCTCAGGATACACTAGTAAAGCCATGGACATGTAAGTACAGAGATCAGAAAGACTGACAAACTGACCCGATGAAGGCTGACACCTGAAGGAAACACAAACAGGTTCACAGAATAGAGTCAGGATGATGTGGTGCCCAAGGACAGAGTTAATGGAGAAACTGAATCAGTCGTTTAAATCTCACTGTGTGATTAAGTGTTAGTCACTCAGTTGCATCCAACTCTTTGCAGCCTAGTAGTCTGTAGCCTACCAGCCTCCTCTCTGTGGGATTTTCTTGGCAAGAATACTGGGGTGGGTTGCCATTCCCTTCTCCAGGGGATCTTCCCAACCCAGGGATTGAACCCGCGTCTCCTGCATTTCGGGTAGATTCTTTACTATCTGAGCCACCAGGGCACCCCCAAATTTCAGGAAAGCAGCATGCCAAAATTGTGAATAACTGTCAGGATTATGGTTTAAGGAGTGTATGTTTCTACTTTCTGTACTTTTCAAGATTTTGACAGTGAGCATCTATTTGATGATTAGAGGTACTTTTAATTCTAAAAAGAATAAAATCACAGAATTTTTTTTTTCTTTTTGATGGACAAAAGGGTGTCAATTTGGTTTACCATTTAGTAATCTTTTGGGACCAGTTGCACTGTATTGGTAGAGGTATAATCTTGCTTGTAAACCTGAGTGGTGTGTGAAGGTTTTGTTGTCTGTTGTTGTTTTAGAATGGGAATGATAGGCATGTATATTT